GCGAGATGAGGCAATTCGTGCAGGCATTTGTCGTCTCACGGCTCCTGTATGGTCTTCCCTATCATCCAGTCAATCGGACTCAGATGCTAGCTCTAGAAAGACTTATCAACGAGGCCCGAAGACTCATTACTGGCCTTCCCAGGTACACACGCCTAGACGCGCTCAAGAGTTGCGGGGGCATTAATGATCTCAGCGAACTCGTATCCGCGCACTACAACATCCAGGAGGCACGGCTTCGCACAACACCAGCCGGCCGGTCTATCCTTGCCAAACTAGGCTACGCCGTGCACGATCTGCCCGAACTCCCACAACAGACCCCGCAGTGGGAACACATTGTCCTCACCGACGGGACTCCTTTACATCAGCGGATACAGAGCACCGGCAGGCGCCTCCCTCTCAAGAGACGGCACTTAAAGTACATTCGCTCGCTTGACGATTGCACCCACGTGATCTACGTCGATGCATCCCTGCCAGCTGATCACAAATGCGCTGTCTACGCCACGGCGTGGTACAATTGCAACACAGAAGCACAGGCACGATACCTGCACACAACGGCTACGCCCCCGCTCAGCACCCAAGCGGAGCTTCAAGCTATCACGGACTATGCGCGCGACGCACTTCTTACGGCAAAGGAAGACGCACCAGTCACGCACATCATTTATACTGACTCGCAAGCGGCACACCACATATGCTCGGACACCAAATATACCGGACCTACCTTACACGAGCTCAAGGTGGCCGTCTCATCTCTGAGAGCGTCCGGCCATCAATTCATCATACGATGGGTCCCTGCCCACTGTGGCATACCCGGTAATGAGAAAGCCCACAGACTAGCGCGCGCACATCTCTCCGCGCTGGCCAAGGGACCCTCCTCTTCCTCGTCTCTAGGCAACCCCTCACAGGAAATTGCCAACCCTTGGCACGACTTGCGCTCTACGAAAGCCCAGCGAGCCACCTACCTCTCCATGGCCGCTAACCCGCTATCCATCCCTAAGATTCCCTCCCAACATTTCTCTCGTAGGGAAGCCGTCATGATTCGGCAAATTCAGACAGGGACCCTACTGACACCGCATCTCTTACAGCGGTTTCGCGGGAACGACGGGGCAGGACCTTCCACAGCCACTGGCATCTGCAAGAACTGCAATTCTAAGGCAGACCTGGTCCATCTCATGTGGTCTTGCCCTTTGTATAATAGGGAGTTTTAGCGAGTCGTTTTTCAAGCACACGGTTCCGAAATCACGAACGGTACAGCTGGTCCGTTCCGTGAAACCGTACGTCAAATTCAACATACTTTAGCGAATCGTGAAAGTGGCGCGACCGTGTAAACGATGATGATGATCATGCTTAACGGTGGCGCCATCTTCTAGCAAACATGTGAAACATTCTGCAACGTGTAAATCCGTGGCGGCTCGTGTTTCCGGCGTACGACTGATGTAAACAAGACGGCCGGCGTAACATTTGCCGGTCGGAATTTCAAGAACTGCGATGCTAGATAGAGTAAAAAGTGTCTGAACGACCGTAAAGGTATGTGGTGTGTCTCCGTCATCTTGAACTTGAACGATCGTTCACATAGTGTACCGTCGAACCAAATTATTTCGTCTGCTCGCGGTCGCCACGGCAGCTAGTCTGCCCGCAGATCGCAAAAATTTACTAGCATGCGCCGTTTACAGCATTCACGATCGCTTACCATTGTGAGCAGTCCTCGAAATGATTTGGTTCAACCTCTCAGATGAAGCAGACTAGCAGGACGACAAATTGCCTCCCGCTGTCCTAAGCCTAACGCTCGGCTGGGTCGGCGAAGGCGGTCACCGAACCAATCGCCATCTTTTTTTTACCCGAGTCGTGAACGGTGCTGGCTGCGTTGCGGTGACGACTCCAGCGGCCGGAATGGGAGAAACGAACGAGAAGAGCCTCCCGACTCCCCGAACGACTCGCGCACGCATGCGCAGTGGCGTCGCGGATGCGTTCGAGGGCGAACCGTTCGTGTGGAAACGACCTGCTAAAACTCCCTAATATTCCACGACAACAGGCTTTGGACCTCATCACAAACGCCCCAGTACCCGCATCCTTGAACGCCTGTGCATGTCCAGACACCACCATATCCCCCAAGCATGCTTTGGAGCTCTGGGAGGCACTACTCACCTTCATAAAAGACCCAACTGCGCCTCCAGTGGGGGACCGGCTCCTTTCGGCTACAGCCAAGAGGATACGGCCTCCCCCTCCCTCGTCGACGAAGGCCTTGAAGCCATGAAGTGTTGCCCTCCTGCTCCTCTCCTCTTCTTTGGCCCCCGCTTCCTAATCCCTTATCTTCCTTCTAACTGACCTCCGCAGCGCGCTCCACGCAATATAAGGTCAATAAACGTGTTTTCAATCAATCAATCTCTGCTACGACAGAGGTGCGGAAGCGAGGACGAACCGAGCTCGCGCCTCGCGTTATTTGTCGCAATGCCGGCGCAATGTGTTGCGTACGGTTGCGCGAATTAGTTTTACAGTAAAGAAAACGCCAAGTTTTTTTTTTTTTTTTTTTTTTTTTAATTTCTGTCGGCCATTCTCTATCTTGCGAAGAGAGAGTCTTGGATGGCTGCCGTAAGGAGAAGGAACACAGACGGCCCACCATAGCAGTCGAGCGAGCACAGCCGGATCTGTAGCGCGAATTTGTCACGGGTACGTCGATTTTGTACGCTCCTGGGGAATTTTGCACACTATTCAATCTGGGTCTCGAGGCAACGCGGGGAACAGACTGCGTGCACGAGCTTTACGCCCCACATGTATCAAGCCAAACCACGCATCGCAAAGCCTAGTTGTATTCCAACCACTTTCCAGCCTCGCACCCAAAATGTTGAAGTTTCTGGCGTTGCGCCATAGGCGGCGCGCACTATTTTGCATATCGTGCATTGCCGTTTTCTATAAAAAAATGCGTTGCGTTCCAACGCCAAGCTCGACCGGCACAGGTCAAGGTCATAGAAACAATAAAATGCCGGGCTATATTTTTTATACATCCAAGACATCAGGCGTCACGTCAATACCTAACGTCACCGCGACCTGGCTTGTCGTCACAATGCCATGCGACATCGCGACGACGCCTTGACGTCAACGTCGTCATCGACGTTGACAACGCTTGTTACATGACATCAAGACTGCTTTCTGACGTAATATTGTGTTGACAACGACGTCAACGTCAACGTTGACGAAGACAACGACGACATCACGCGACGTCATAAAGACGCTTGGTGTCAGGTCGTCGACATCGTTGTCGACATGACGCAACTGGTCGTCATGATGACGTCCCGACAACTTCACGACGCCGACATCGACGTCATAGTCCACGACGACGACGTTACACGCCATCAAGGCTTCGTCGTGACGTCGTTGTGATGATGGCGTTGACGACGTCAGGACGGCGTTAACGTGACGTCATAGTGACGTTTGACGTTGCGTAGGGCGTCGACGTCAACGTTGGCATCGACGACAACGTCGACGTCGTCATCAACTCTGCGCATCGTCATGACCGCGTTACAACGGTGACTTGATGTCGTTAAACGGCGTCGTCCTCAACGCGACGCGATGTTACGACCGCCTTACAAAGGCGACTTGATGTCGCGAAACGGCGTTGTCCTCGACGCAAAGCGATGTCACGACGGCTTTACGACAGCATATTGGTGTCGCGTAACGTCGGAGTCGACGATGACGTCGTGACGTGGTGTACTGACGTTGCCTCTGACGTCAAAATTATAAAAATATATAAATAATATAGCCCTTAAAAAGCTATATTCTCCCCACCCCCCAAAAAAAAGTAAAATTGGTTTGTGTGTATGTTTATATAGCCTAAAACTTGGTCTGCCTCAACGGGCGACGAGTCTCCCGGCTGTAGATGAGCAATTTAGCCAGTGCAGTACAACCGCTAGCCTCTTTAACGTGCATCACGCAGTAGTGATACACGACCGAACGCCGGTACAATCGACACAGGCAGAGGTGGGGATCGAGCCCAGGATCCTGGGCTCTGCAGTGTGAGCTTTCGCTCCACGTGCTCTGAGCTGGTGTGCGCTAGTGTGCACTAGTGCCACTAAATAAGCTACGCTTCAGAGTAACGTCACTTGGCCATATTGTGTCTTAAAATCATGGTTGCCAGTTATCTGAAGCTTTATCTGAAATCACAGGAGGCGCTTTTCCGCCCTCCACAAATGTTCAAACAGTTCGCGGCAGAGCAAAGCAATGTTACGTAACCTTTCTAACACCGAACCGAATGCCGAGGAAGTCGCACTTTTGAATCATGACGATCGGCAGTTGCGTCTGCTCTGCATACGAGCCAAAATGGCGGCGCCCACAACAATGTTGGGGAACGGAGTGCCGATACTCTAAGCGTAGCTCATTTAGTGGCTCTAGTGTGCACTAACCCACTCGGCCACTGATGCCCCCCATATTGCCCAAATGACCTTCACCTGTGTCGTCGGTCGCTTCGATCTCAGCGAAGGTGGCGCTGCGATCGAAGTGGCTTGGGTCCACCTGATCGCTTTCCACATTTTGAGGTGCAACTGAAAGCATGAGCGGAGCCTGTAGCTCGTCCCACTCAGTCGTTTCTAGTTCTCTCTATCCAAGGATCCTGGGCTCAATTCCCCCCTGTCGGTTTCGATCTGGATGGGCGTCGTACCGGCGTGCGGTCGTGTACCACTACTGCGTGGTGCACGTTAAAGACCCCAGGTTAGCGGTTGTACCGCACTGGCTAAATTACTCATGTACAGCTGAGAGACATGTCGCCCGTTGAGGCAAACTAAGTTCAGGCTGTATAAACATACACTCACTCACATTTACCACAAAGGTGAGGGGTGCCCGCAGAGACACCAACCGGTGGCACTCATCTTACTGCAGTGCCGAAGCTAAATCGGAGTGTCTAGGGGTTATGTTGCTCCTAAAATAGAGCACCTCTACTTAACTAACTGTGGCGCATATAAGCAATTATTTCTATTCAGACAAAAAAGAAAAAATGAAGCTGACACAACAGATGCCCTGTTACCAGTGAGCTTGTATTTTGCCTCTTTTGGTTCACCGGCATCTCAACAGAAACAAGTCAGGGAACAAACCACGAAATACAAAGAACACTCGCGGGGACCACGTGATACCAAGCCTGCCTTTCAAAAAGAAAACAAAAGTTACCTGCTTGAGTAACGGTTGCTTGTATTTCCTTCGCTTCGTGAGAGAAAACAAACTACGCTTGCTAACAATGCACACAATAAAGTAATTAAGAAATGGTAAGAGTCCCGTCTTCTTTCAATCCACCGTCCTTATTTCAGTCGCTACACAGTAACATGGCGATGTCGTTTCGTCCAACAACAGAGTCGGCAGGCTTTTGTTCTCCTGACTTGTGACAACAAACGGCAACATTCCAGAGAGTGAGGAAGTATGGGACTAGCCGGAGTACAGAGGCAAATGTACACAGTAATTGGATTCTTGCTCTTGAGTTGAACAGGCGGACGTTGTAAGCCGCAGTGGTCTTCTGCGCTCCAGGACGGTTCACGAAAAGACCTTGCATCCACTAAAAGATCAAGAGTTAGCTGCACGATGTTCCCTCTCTTTTAACATGACGGGAGAAGTTTAACCTCATCGTGTGACTAGAGCAAGAAAGAGAAAGAGAGAGAGATAAAATAACGTTACAAGACCTTATGTACAAGAGGAAAGGAGGAAAGATGGACAAGGTTCGTATGTATACAAGACAGCAAATAAGATTGGTAGTTGTTCCATTCGGTGTTTCTCTTCGCAGATATAATAGGGTTATATCATGCTACGTCTTTTCTGTATTTTTTTTTCTCCTTGAACGTTTTCAAACGTGAACGAATCTGCGAACACGAACATACCTTAACATACCTTACATTCTGTTCCAGACACACTTAACAAATGCACATATGTGCTCCAAACATGCATGCAGCCTTCTGACATTTTGACAGACAAGGGTTGGTCGCCCCATGCCTAGCGTTGCTGAGTTTTGTGAACGCTTTCAGTGTTTCTCGTATGATGTTTCTTCTGTCGGGTGCTTAGCCTTATTCAAGTTTCCTTTCTCTTCACATGGGGACTCATAAAAAGGAGAGATGTCCACGCCTCGTTTTTTGTTGTGTTTACCCTCCGAAATCTTGTCATTAAAAACAATTATTTCATCATGTTACCTTTCCTGAGGTTCCGCCAAAGATTTGGCCTTTCGGCGGTTTCGTAGGCTTCGATTCATTCGATCAAGTAGGGTTAATTCATCTTCATATTTTCGATTATATAGAGTATATATATATATGTAGATATATATTTCTAGAAAGTAATTATGTTCTATAAACCCTCAAGGGCAATCCTTATATAGACTGCCATAACGGTTAATCTTATATTCAGTTTATATTCGATTGTAGTCTGCATTTCGCAAACGCCATCTTTAACGAGACAGGCGAAATCACACCTGAGTGTATGGTCAGGACGCTAAAATCTGGTCGTAGCGAGTCATTAGAACGGGACAGTGTGAAACCACCTCTATACCGTGTCTGTGGAGTCGGAGGGGGCGAAAGCATTTATCCTCGTTAACCTTGCTTCTCGCTGGTAATCTCGAAATTTAACAAGATCCTCTTTGCACCTTCCTATGTACACTCCACGAACTACCGCATATAAAGGCTTTTAGGGGAATGTTCTGAGAGCATTTGTTAGCCGAAGGAAAAAAACAAAAAAAGATCTCGCCACCGAGCCGCAGGTTCTCTGCACCGTTCAGATTTTCACGAATGTCAACAGGAAGGTCCTGCAGCATGACGTCCGGAGAGTCATTTCGTTGCCGTTAGATGAAAAAAAAAAACCTAAACAACGTGTGTTTCAACATTTTTTCTTTTGTTTTTTGTCGGCGACTCTCAGAAAAAATTAAATACTTCAAGGAAAGTTCACTGCAGCACAAGACATAGCAGGACCATGCGCCGTTCGCCTTTGCAACAAGAGAAAAGCAAAGGCGTGTTTTTCGGCGAGCGTGACACTTTGAATTAGGACGAACACAATAAACGAATGCACCCTAACCCCCAGCTATGGTTTTGTCTTCCTTCAAATACCGGAACAGAAGGCACTTGGTCAATACAAGCTATAAGCGATTTGTGAAGACAGATCTGCGTGTTCTACGTGGTCTTTGACATTATCGAGTTCACTTCCAGGACCGATTGAAATAAGTGTTTTTGAGTGAAATCAAACAATTGCAGCGGTCAGAGACGGACGTTAGGATGATTTACTTTCTTATGGTTGGCTATCTTATATTAGAACGGCTCTGAATCGGCCCATCATATTGCTACGCCGAGTCTAAAGCGCCGTAATATAGTAACTCGAAGAAAAATGTAAAAATTTAGTTTAGCCCAAATTAACAAATCGAGACTAGAAGCACTAGCGGTGCGCGGGAGCTTTCTTTCACTGCCGTTACTCTTCAGAAAAATATTATTTTATTGGACTTCGATAAGGAAGATTCCGCGTTGACTAGCGTATTACGTAGCTATATATTTATTTTTACCCTTGCATTCGGCAGTTATCACTCTTGGCGAATCCCACGGCGAGATTTTAGAAAGGAGTAACTCGTAGATATGGACATGGACGCACTTCATCGAAAATCGACCTGGGAGGGAAATCTACTCTGGCGCAGTATATTTCGCGGCACCGCAATGTAACGCCATGAAACATACTGCAAACGTGGCGAAGTAACGTGTGTATTTAAATAGCTGCACCTTAGAAGACACACAAACATTCCTCCGAGCATCCGAGGTAGGGAATGAAGCGTAACATAAAGTGTTGAAACAAGGATATTAATCCTTGTCGTGGCAGACGAATAAGAAATTTATCCACAGGTTCCTAATGTCTCCAGCAACTATGGCAGGACTGCGTCCGCTTAGTTTCGAATCACCACTGGCACAGCCAGCTTTCATGATTCAGCGGAAACAAGAAGTTTAGAGTTGGAAAAATAAAATAAAACTGAAGTGCGGGGTGTAAGTTAGGAACCAACACACACAGAATAATAAAAAAAAGGAACGAATCAACAGAACATGGGGAATAGTTGTGAAGTGTCCTCTTCGGATGGTGAGTCCAGCGTTTTCGCAAAGTCACACCTTCACAATACCGAGAGTCGTTTCTAACGACCTGAGTCAGGTCCCCGGCTTTTAGCGATCTGCCGGTTTCAGACACTTCCCGGGGAAACTATTGCGAGGCGACACACTTTCAGGACGCCGTACTTAGCAGAAGGTTCCCGGGCCCGCTTCCAGATCACGGGACCGCTCTTGAACATGGTTCAGACTTGGTTCAAGCAGGGTGAAGCTCTGCCACCATCTTTGAACGCAATTCAGTAGAGGTCCAGGATCGTGCGAGACCACAGGGACCTTCTTGGTCGGACGTCTTCCGTAGCAATCCAGAAGAACGCGAACTCCTATGATCGCTCATGAATTGATTCAGCTGCAGTTGAAGACAGCTTGACACACCAGGGCCGCTTTTGAACATGATTCATCCGCAGTTCAGAGCAGCGCGAAACGTGTGGCCCGCTCTTGAACATGATGCATCTGCAGTGAAGAACAGCGCAAAGTCCTGGAGGCGGCGCTGTTCAGCGTAGATCATCGGCAGTCCAGACCGGTGCGAGTACGTTGGCGAAACGGATCAAACGCCAGCTCGCTTCTCGGGCATTTCGAAGAGGTACAATTGTTGAAGCTGGCCCTGGACTGGCATCTTCTTTTCAAAATCCTGCGATACGACTCCGATATTTCGATCGCATATCATCCATAGCGCCTCCTTGTCAGGAGGTCACGTCACGTCGTAATCCTTTTTGTCCTCGATTCAGCAAACTCTCGGGCTAGACGTAGTTCCTTCCTTAGAAGCCCTGGATGACGCCGTAGGCTTCCAACGCCGACATCGTCACGTAAAAGATCCAGAGGCCCGTAAGGATAATGGTGGTTGGAAGCTTGAAACGCATGGGGCCTCCGAGCTCTCCTCCCACCCGCTTGTTCCGGCGCGCTAGCAGGAGCACGCAGGCGATCAGTGCGCAGACGCAAAAGATGGTGACCGAAAATGCCAGGTTGCCCGGCAGTACCCTGAACGTCGTCCCGCGGCCCCAGTGAACGAAGGCGGCCAGGGACCAGGCCACGCCGATGCCGAGGAACACGTTCACTGCGTTACTCCCCGTCACGTTGCCGATCGAGGAGTCCGCGTACTTGTCGTTCATCGCCGCCACTTTGCTGGCGAATGTGTCTGAAAGAAGAAGGCACAAGCCGTCAGTTGAGATACAAAAAAAACACATATATATATATATATAACTGATCTACTCACAACTGAACATTTAAGTGAAAAACAAAAACAAACATGTGCCGAATTCTATCTCTTATTCAATTAGTTTATTCGCTGATGATTGTGTTATTTACAGAGATGTTACTAACGCCTCGGATGTTCTGAATTTACAAGCTGACATTAACCAGGTTTCAAGATGGTGTGAATTATGTGGGATGGAACTTAACACGACTAAATGCAAGGCCATGAGAGTATCGCGTAAATGTAATTTTCGTTCTTCTTATTTTCTCGAAGATGTCCCCTTACTTTCTGTCTCTTCTTATAAATACTTAGGTGTGTATATAACCTCAGATATTTTCTCGGAAATGCATGTTGAGTATGTTATGTATAACGCTAATCGAATTCTGGGTTATCTAAAACGAAGCTTTTCAGTTGCCCCTTTATCTTTGAAACTAACCCTGTACAAAACGCTTGTACGCTCCAAATTACAATATGCTGCTTCTATCTGGGACCCCGGTCATTCCAAACTAACTAACGCCCCGGAATCAGTTCAAAATTGTTCTGCTCGTTTTATTCTTAATAACTTTCATCGCACCGCAAGCGTGAGCTCCATGAAAACTAGCCTATCGTTGCCTAACCTCAATTTACGTCGCAAAATAGCTCGCTTATGTCTCTTTCATAAGATATACCTTACTAACTCATTACTTCACAACCGACTGCTGAATCATCCGTGTTATATTTCGTCACGCATTGATCATATGTATAGACCGTTTCATCCTTTCCCGCATGGGCGCTGCCATCTTGGAATCACGTGACGCGGCAGCCGTTTGGTTGCTTCAAGTTGCTGCTCCGCTCTCCCCTCCGCGCCTTGGCGAATGTATTGTATTCGTGTTTTTCATCGCGTTTCACCGCGCTTGCTTGCCTTACTTCGGACACTGTTGTCCGATACGTCTACTCGACGACTCCTGAGGTTTGTTTACTAATAGTGGCGGAAGATTCTCAGTAAGAAGCGCGTATGTTTGCATCGCGCATCTAGGGTCGCAAGGCGTCAAGAATACTCAGCACAAGGAGACTATTTGTATTCCCTGAAAGTATAGTTCTTTGTATTCATACTATATTGAAAACAGTTTCTTTTGTTTATGTGAGGAAACTCGCGGAGAAGATAGACAACGAACGTTGAACTTGTATTTTATCTGAGGCTAAAAGTAATGGTACGTCAACACCAAGCGATTTGTTTGTTCATAATATCACACCTATATGTGCATGAGGTTCTCAATCTCTTTCTTTGCGACGTAGACATACGGTTGGTCGGTTTACTTACGAAGTTTAAGAAATTGTATACCATGCACGCTTCCATAAAGCGAATTTGTTCTAAGAAATAAATATTTGTTCACACAGGTCCGTGAAGTGGTGCCTAGCGCTAGAATTCAGCAAAACTTTCCGATGTATTTCTCCGCCTGCGCCCTTGAATTTTATTTAGCTAATATTACGGTAGAAAAATGCCAGATTTAACTTGACGGGCCTGTCACTTATATCATAACCTGAGTAAGTGAGTGTTCATATAAAAAAAAAAACGTATTTCCTAGGGCAAATATTGCGAAATGCTGCTTATGAGTACTAAGAAAACAGGCCGAGACGATATTATTTTTTATATCAATTATCTGCGTCATTACACGACACGTTTTTATTCTGCGAAGTTCACTAAAAGTTGGGTGCGCACGAAAACCAAACAGTGAGTTGTAAACTCGCGAGTTCATCTGTTCTGGTCGATTCAGAACATTGCTAATCAAGCTGTCGATATGCTTCCCCCCTTTACATTCACATGTTACTATCTTAATTAGTGTGATTTTCTGGAAACTGGTGTCATCGGGTAATGCCATACACGATGGTATTCTTCCCTGTACATCAGTCAGGCCTTTCGCAACCGACCATAATCAGATACATCAAAGGAGTTGGTAAAAAAAGCCCACAATTTAAGCTAAACAACACCTCGTAGTCACCAAAGTGGCTCAATACTACTATTTCAGTGGTTGTGTGCTACCAGGAAAATAATCGTATCACAAAATTAAGCAAAAACAACGTAAAACAGCAACATATCCGCGCTCACGTTGAAACCGAAACCAACCAAATTGAAGCAACCTAATGGCGCCGAGTGCGTCAGCGCCCTCTGTCCGCCGGTGAGGCAACTACTAAAATGAAAAGGTCTATAAAGGAGACATTCTAAAATGTAACACTAACGCACTCCGAGAGTCATTCATTCCGAAAACTTCGTTCGATTGGAACCATCTTCCCACATCTATCGCAACAATTATACCTGACCACTTATTTAGAACTGTCATAAGTAATCTATACTGCCCATATTGAGCTGCAAAGTATATTAGTGCCACTAACCCCCACTCCCCTCTGTAATGGCAATGACTTTGAGGGTATTTTAAATAAATAAATAAATAAATATGTGCCTTCCGAGGCATACGTGTCAGGTCATAGAGCCATAATGCTGCAGTCAGAGTGATCATGCATCATACAAATATCATCATACACGCCTCAAAAATGATTGCTTCTTGTGCTTCGTACATGTCTGGAGACAGTTTTTGCGTGACCGATATGACAGGGTCGTCCTACGAGAAAGAAAAACACCATAGGCAGTGTCTACTCTCCAGACCGTATTTTGTATGCCGTATCAGCAGTCTGACCGCGGCTTAGGGCGTGCGGCGAGAGACCACACACTGGCGCCATCTGTCAGAAAACCTTGAAACACTCTCGATATGCGCCTTTACTTTTACACTAATTTTTGCGCTGTATTGTTTCATGGCCGGCTAGAAATCCCTTCCATAATGACATCTTGCATAGATTGTACGAGGATTTTATCTCGTGAATACTACAAAACGTTCGGCCTAGTTATACGAGTCCTGTGCTAGTTGGTACCAGTGCACCACCGCGTTCTCTCGCCGTAAGCCTTTTCACTGGAACGCAACGTACTAGAGCATGCTCAAGGGTAAATGTGTGAACCAGCTATGAGCCTATGTTTTCGAGGAAATGACATCAAACCAACTGCTGCGCGCAATAGCCGACACTCTCTCCCAAGATGCTTCTACTGTCCGACTAACAGCAGCAGGAGCAAGCAAGGTCCGTGCAAGGTTCCCAAATAAAACTATTGCCTTAAAAAAACAATGGTGCAGAAATTTGAACGTACGAAATCAAGCCTTATTTTTAATATAAAAAGGCCACCAAGACTATTTTTCTTTTCTGAATAGTTGACCAATCAGGGTATGCTGACAAATAACGCAACTCGTTAAAAAAATGTTATTGACAAAAAAAAAAGTTTGTTAGGGTATTTTTTATAGGTCCGACAGAGGTTACCAATTAAGTACACTGTTTGTTTTTCGTAAACGTTTCGTATGCTAAAGCCATGCACTCTTTTTGCGTCCACAGTTTGAGCCAGAACCTTCTTTGTGGCAAACCGTCGTTTGTTTTTCTTCTCTTAGGCTTCACAGGATATTTCTTGTCAAATTACCTAAGCACATAGGAAAATGCTGGGAACATAGGTGCACCTGCTGCGCACTCTCGCATGATCTGTATCAAACATACCAAGTAAATTATCAAAATAGGGCGTTGAAAACAGGCCTTGCATACTGTCTTTTGTTTTAGGCTTTGAAGCCGCCTCGGTAGCTCCGAAATGAGAGCGCTGGCCTACGGATCCCCATGTGGCGGGTTCGAATCCCGGCCGAGGTGCCCGCAATCATCAATGTGACGGAGGCTTATTGCGGAGGAGGCGCCGTGTTACCGAGCTTTCGGTTGCTCGTCAAAGGTCCCCAGGTGGTCAAAATTAATCCTCAGTCCTCCGCTGGGGCGTGCCAGATGCCCGTCGTAGGTTTGGCACGTAAAACCCCCAAATGCGTCTTGTTTCAGGCTTTGCTTTAGAACGTTTACTGCTGGAGACGCCAGCACGTGCACTGCGTGTAACTACACCCGCAGCATTTTCCTAGGATCCTGGGTAATCGACACTTCTTAAAGAGAGTTGTGCGCATACGCCAGCCGTCCTTACGCAGCGTCGAAGCCTTGAACTATGGCCGGCGTCTGGAAGGGGACTTGCGTTACCTCACCTGCTCCCCCCTCGACTCAAATGAATCGCCGCGGAAGAAGCAGGAGAGGAAGCGAAACACCCTTGTAGGACGCCAAACGGAGCTCGAGCTTTCGTCGCTTGGTGTAGCCTTTACGTGAAGAAAACAATGGATAGGTGGCGCAAGCCGCCGCCCGATTAAAAAGGTTCAGTCTCATGCATTCATCCCTTCATTTAGATGGAAAAAAACTAGTGGCATAATTTGATGGGAGGATAAAGTTTTGTGATTATCATTACTTTCATTCATACGGCGGAAGATAAGGTTGCGAAAAGGCTCTTCCAACGCACATATTAGAACTTTTAGAAATATTTTATAAAACGCTGAACCTTATTGATGATAAGGCTAGTAAACAGGCAAGCTGGTTTAGGTTGCACATCGTTAAGACTGAGGACGACGGAAAGAATCGGGAAGGGCACACGTCTCAAACTCAGCTATAAACTCTTATTGAAGCCATCGCTTAAAGCGCGAAACAGATGCGCGTCAAAACTGTCCGATCCGACGTGCGAACTGCCGGAACGACGTTTGGGGGCGAGGGTTTTCGTAACACCGGAAAGCGTCGAAAACCCTCGCCTCCGAACGTCGTTCCGGCAGTTCGCACGTCGGATCGGACAGTTTTGACGCGCATCTGTTTCGCGCTTATATACGTATTTTCCGACACCCACATCCGGAACTCTGCGTACGTCCCATAGCTGACCGTTATACGATTCTTAGAAAAAAACGCCCATGGAACCTAACGCACCTCGAAAGGACGTTCAAGTGACCTCAAAAAGAACAAAGGCAACAAAGGCCACAAGGGACCGACCCTTGAACCTAGAACAACTGGTTCTCTCACACAAAATGGACAAACCCGTATCATGACACTCTTCTCCTCGAAAAACAAACAAACAAAAATCAAGATAATAACGACGCGTACGTCCCATGGCTGACCTCTACACAAATCCTAAGTAACCGCCTACGGAAACCAACATACACAGCGAAGGGACGTCCAGTGACCTCAAGAACCACAAAGGCAACATACGTCCAGTGACATCCAAAAACCACAAAACAACATATCAGACGCTTCTTAAACAAAAATTTAAAAAAATATAGCAACTCACTTTTTTTGCGTTATTGCACTCGTTGGGATAGACTGTTGGCTAAACCAGCTTCCAGCGGAGGTGATCCTGATCGTCTCCTTTACGACTCTTTTTGAGCAATATCCTTCCCTGCACACCACTAGTGTTTGTTCCAACTGTGATGTACAGTTTGTTTGAAAATGTCTTTAATAATAATAAAATAAAAGAAACATCAGGGCCAGGTCAGCTGGGCTTAAGCCGTCGGTGCTGTCCTGGGGTGGGGGATGGGGATTAAATGAAGTGAGTCAGGTGAGCCTCCTTAATGAACCGAAGGAGGGAGTCGAATAGTTCCTTTCGGTGCTTTGGTGAGCCGGATGGTCTGGTCCATTCCGCCAAGCTCTTGGGTCTTTGATCCGCGGGAATGGTCAGTAAAATTTCTTCTTTTTTCTCAAAAATGTTTATGCAGTCCCAGAAAACGTGATTTTCTGAGGCCACGACCTTGCATTGTCGGCAAAGACTTTCGTCCATGTCGTCTGCGGGTTCTGAGTTCTCTTCGTTGTACCTTTTCAGTCGTTGCTTGTTCCAAGTGTACATTGCAGTACGTTTAGGTACCATGGCGGTTCCCGTGCGTAGTCGCCTGAGGCAGACCCTGTCCCATCGGGAGTAGGGTCCATCCGGTAAAGGGTACGAGTCTTGTTTTCTGAGTGCATGGAGCCTCTCTCGGCGCTCTCTCCGCTCATCGTCCTTGACGGCTGTAGGGTCCTGTCTTTCTGAGGAGCACGTGAGGCCACCATAGCCGGGATCAGAGGAGGGAGAAGAGAGCATGACCCGTGCTGCGGCATGTGCTGCCTCGTTCCCAGGAATGTTTTGGTGGCCTGGGATCCACCTCACACTAAGCTTTGTTTGTCGGTTCATGACGCTTGCTTTGATGGCCTTTGCAGTCTTGTTGGAAGTGGATGGGTTCCTGCATTCTTCGTATGCGGCCTTAGAGTCCGTGTAGACGAGGCATTCTTCTTGAGGGTCCGAGTGTTCAACTGCCATAAGAATAGCCTTGAGTTCGGCATCTCGAGAAGCAGTGGACTCGTTTAGATTTAAGAGGGCCAATTCCCCCTTGCTGCTAACTGTCGCCAAAGCTACGACGTCTTTGGAAATGGCAGCATCCGTGTAATAAACAATCTTTCCCGATTCTATCTCGGCTTTCGCGTGTTTGAGATGGCTCCTTGCCATAGTACATCTTCTATTTTCTTGTTCTTTGCCCATATTTTGAGGGACGGGCTTTGTCTCTGTAATGAAGGTGTCTTGCCATGGCGGGGATGCAGTCTCGTACAGGTAGGTGGCGTATTGATATCCTAGCCTGTTGAGAATCTGTCTTCCTGCCGGTGTCTTCTGTAGTCTCAATACTTGGCTTAGTTTGTCCTCGGCCGCAATCTCGCTCAGCCTGTTGATGTCGGCGATTTCAATCAAATCTTCAAGTTTGGTACACTTAGGGAGACCAGTGATGAGCCTTCTGGCGTTGTTGTTCAAACGCTCTAGTCCGTCCTTCTGAGCCCTAGAGAGGCGAAGGTAGTTCCACCCGTACATCGTTTTTGAGACGAGCAGGGCACGTACAAGCCTTCGGAGGGTGTGTTCTTGTGCCCCCCATGATTTGCTTGTGACCTTGCTGATTGTTCCAATGGTGCTCTTCCATGTCCTTCTAATGTAATCGTACCATTTGGTCGCTCGGCCCAGAATCGAAAGACTATCTAAAAAATGCGGCGATGTCATTGCCCACGCTTTGCGGTTTAAGTGAGGTAAAGCGAAGCGAAAGCCTCCTGCACCATTCGTTGCTGACTAACGCGCCCGATATTGCAGCTACAACGACATATTATTTCCAAAGCGAGCGGCGCTCACTCACTGGGGCACCGCCATGTTTCCCCGCATCCCTACCGAGCCCAGTCACGTGATTTCAAAATCCCTCTCCTAGGTACAGCGGCTAACTTTAGCCGCGGTTAGTGCTTCGAGAAAACGGGCCCAGGTGCCCTGTGAGGTGGTTTTTTTTTACGATATCTCCATGGGCTTGTGGCTTCTCCTACGTCGGGCAGACGAAACGCTGTCTAAATGATAGGTTGTTGAAGCACAAGTAGGCGGTAAAAAACGAAGCTCCACACTCAGAAATTGCGAAACAAGTGTAGGAATTCGGCAACTGTACTCCAGAGTGGCAAAAAACAACAACAAACAAACAGTAATAGTGTGCAGGGAACGAGATTGCTCAGAAAAAGCTATAAAGGAGACGATTAGGATCACTTTCGCTGGAAATTGCATCAGCCAACCCTCCATCACAATCAGTGCGGTAACGCGAAAATGTCTGTAACTGTATTTTTTTTAAAAATAAAAGTGTAATATGTTGTTTTTTTTTTTTTTTTTTTTTTGTAGTTCTTGAATTTTGCTGGACGTATGTGGCCTTTGTGGTTTTTGGTCACTGGACGTCCCTTCGCTGTGTGTGTGTTAGTTTCCGTAGGCGGTTATTTAGGATTTGTGTAGAAGTCAGCCATGGGACGTTCGCGTTGTGGTTATCTTGTTTCTCTATGTTTTTTTTTTTGTTGTTTTTTTTTAGTGGAAAAGTTGTGATACGAGTTCGTCCGTTTTGTGTGAGAGAACCAGTTGTTCTCGGTTCAGGGTTGGTCCCTTGAGAGTTTTGTTGTCTTTGTTCTTTTTCAGGTCGCCTGAGCGTCCTTTCGAGGTGCGTTAGGTTCCGTGGGAGGTTTTTCTAAGAATTGTGTAACGGTTAGCTATGGGACGTGCGCAGTTGTTCGGATGTGGGTGCAGGAGAAGACGTATATTCGCGATGGTTTCAATAAAAATTGTTAGTTGAGTTTGAGACGTCTGTCCTGTCCCCACTCTTTCCGTTGTCTCCGGTCTTAAGGATGTGAACCTTAATGTTTTATAAATCACGAGTCAGCTAACTCTTGAAATAAAACCATTCGTTAGGTGGTGCAAGCCGCTGCGCAATTAAAAGGGTTCAGCGGTATTTATATCCGTTCACCTGTTCATTTAGTGAAAGGTATTTTAGGTAGTTCCTACTTTCTTCTTTACTAAAACTATTGAAATAAGAAAAAAAAAAAGAAATTGAATGCGTCGTTTTTATAACCATATGGTTTTCCCAACACGGTCGCCCGTCCAATTGACGCATTTTAAAATTAAATTTGACACTTTTGCTCACGATCATCATATTAGTGAACGGCATGCGTGTCAAATTAATGGTGGTTCTCTTGAGGTTTCATAAAGAACGAAGTGAACACACTACCAAACAGAGGATATACGAGACCTGCTCGTTCGAGAGGTCAATTTAACATGGCGCACGAATAAAATACAACGGCCGCATAAGAGTTAATTTCGGAGCGTGGTCTAATCAACATCTTGGCATCAGTTTGGCTCAAAAGCCTTTTGATGGCGGAATATGAGTCGAAGCGCTTATGGGTCGCCGTTGTGTACTGGCCAGTTCTTACACTCACACCATCGAAAATGAAACGAATCAAGAAAGAGTTACGAGGTGACCGAAGAACCAATACTCATCTGCCATTGACGTATGCAAGTGACGGTGCCCAATTTGATAGTTTCATGACCGCCATTAGACTGTCGGAAGTGAAGCTGCTCTTTGAGCCATCAGATAGAACTGGATTTCGAAGATTCTGCTCCTTTTTTTGAGATTCCCGCGTTTCAATGCACGATATGCTGAGCGTACCCGGGATGCTGGTGCCCAGGGCGACGAGCGAGATGGCCGTGACGGAGTCCTTGAGCCCGATGGTGCAGCCGAAGTGGGACGCCAAGTCTCCGACGAATGCGGTGAGGACGCCGATTAAGAGGATGCTTGTCACGAAGCAGGCCCATCCGCCCCAGTAGTCTGCGCAGCGCAAACGGACGGCGGGACGCTCAGCGGTGCACCACGTGCAAGCCGGGTTTGTCACACTTTATCAAGTTACTGGCAACAGTTTAAGAAACGCAGGACAGTTTAAGTATTTTAAAGGCTTGTTCACACACTTGCGTCTGTTTAAGACCGACTGCCTAACAACCTCTTGTGATCTCTCACGGCGAGAAAACCTCTGGCACCATCTAGCGCGTAGCAGTGAAACCTTTGACATTTCCGTATAATTCAAATTTCTTTTCCGCAACTTTACTTTTTTATTGGCCCCAAAACATTTTTTTAAAGTAATAAACGATCATTTTTCATAGAAACTATGTGCACTCGTTCTCGCAAATACTGCGAAACCTTCGCTCTCATCGAGTGCAGTTCCAGGGTCACCTGATAAATTGCGCCAGCATGCCAGTGTTTTGTCTCGTCGCGAAAGATCGCAAGACTTCAGTCATAAGGAAACGCAAGTGTGTGAACCCACTTTTAGTGACGCTCCGTTGCGAGTGAGATTCTAACAATCACCAACAAGAACGAAACAAATAAGAACGAATCACCAAAACAAAGCGTGAATGGAACAATGGTGTAAATAGAACCAACGTTAATAAAACAACAATACTACGCGATAATGCCTTTGTAATGCCTTTGAGCCCTGAGGGAATAATAAATGAAATGAAAATGAAAAATGAAATAGTAAAAGCTTTGAAATATGGGTGAAACAATGTTCCAATTCGTACCTGATTTTTTTTCTTTCTTTATAGTAAACGCTTGGGTCTTATGGTCAGCATGTGCCCGTTTCACTTTTGGCGCTTTTCATTTTTTTTTATTGAAAGTCACATTGAACGTTGGCAAAGATGGAGTTTGAAAATCATGGCTTGGTGCCTCTATAGTACGTCTACGGCTGGCGAGATTGAAGCGTCCTCAAATAAGCTCCATCGATTTCCGCCTAATGACGTCGTAAAAGTGTCACGCCTGCTGCAATCCTGGCGGTGGCCGAGCTGAGGGGGTGATTGGTGTGGACGGCTATTCTGTTGTAAGTCGTTCTGCAGCAGGACAGTTCACGGAGGCCAAAGCAGACACGAAATGGGACAGCGCGACGACGACAACGACACTCGAGTTCTGTCGTGGTCTTCCAGAACGTCGACGCCCAGCCGCCAGGATTGCGACATCCAATAGCACGACACAGCAATGACTGCTGTCAGTGACGATGAAGCGATGGAAGGCAAGGTATGAGAACAAATGACAACAAAAAAGAAATTCGTGTAACACAAGTTCAGGAGAACGAATGATGAAACGTAAACTTTCAAATTGATGAAATAAATAAAAATTGCAATATACGAATTGAATTAACATTAAAAAGAGATTTGAGGTTATTATTTTTTGATGCAGATATCACTACATAAAAATTGCAGCGCGCAAATTTTTAGCATTCATAGTCATTATTTGAGTTGTTTCAACGCGTACTATATATTTTCTTCTTTCTACGTGTGTTGTATATTGATGTTTATCTTTGTGCAGAGTGTCTTTGCACAAAGTACGTAGTGTAGGGCATGCCTTCGCGATTTTAAATTGTAAAAGTTCTTTGGATGAGAAAGCTCATGAATCTCTCTTCTCAGCTACCCCCGCTCTTGCTTTGACCCGACATAAAGTTATTATTTAGACATCACCGCTCCTAAGAACGCAAGCATCTCTAACGGCAGAACGACGGATCACCTGTGGGTGGGACGAATGCGAAGAGAACCTTCCAGAATATGGTGAAAAAGTGCATCACGTAATCCGAGCACGACGGCATTTTCACCACCACGTCCTGGCCATCTTCCGCACCCTCCTCATCTTCGTCTGAAAAAGGGGAAAAGAACAAAACACACACACACAAAATGATTTCAGGGTGATTTCTGAAACTAACCACCGGACACCCGTTGCTTCCTCCAGACTTCTGCATTTATTATTCTACGGATATTTAGCGCTTATCTACCGTCTGATTTGTACGGACTATATATACTCACAACGCTGTTTACAAAGCAAACCATCATTTGCCCACACCTGGCTTAGTCACGGCACGAACGCCGAAGCCAGATTCGCGTGACGTTAAGCGTCCGCGCCTGCGCAGTGCAACAGCAGCGCCACCTGAGGGCTATGACGCCACAGGCGCGCGTTGTTGTATAGACCATTTTACTGAAAGAGGGCAAGAGAGAGAAGGGCTGCCGGCGCTTGTCTCCTTTCCTGAGTGGTTAGGAAGGAGTGCCAAGCCCGCATGAACACCTTGAACGCGTGTGTTCCTTCAAGTTCGGTTGTTTTCTTCACGGGTTTCTCTATTTTATTTTACTTCCGGGTGTAATTAGAGCTAGTGGAATCAAGGAAGACAATCCTCTGGTCATTGGGGTATCACTGTTCGGTAATAGGCTGCACGAATGACAACCGAAAACGTAGAATATTATCGGATGACATCTGTATCGTGCAAACGCTGTCGTTTGCTGCTGTGCCCTATTCCATTTTTTTTTTCTTCTGGCGTCATGTTGCGGCAGCTATCGCGTTCTTCTCCTTGGCCTCTTTTAGTTTTCGCATAATCTGACGAAGGGCGTCTGCACGAAATGTCGCTTATTTTCCTTTCCTCTTTCTTTTACACGTCTTATTTCTTACGCTTTTAGTTTTGCACTTACATTACTAGATTTCCTCAGTTGTGGAACTCCCACGGAGGGGGGTAACCCCCCTCAGCCACTTCATTCCGCCTTCCGTCGTTTGAAGCGCCATCTATAGTCCGTTGCAACTCAAGAAAGTAGGGCGAGGATAAGACGGGACGGGGAGAAGGAAGCAAACAGAACGCCGGAGAAGGGAAAACCTCCTTCCCTCTTTACCGTTCCGTCTGCTCCCTCCTTCCCGGCCCGTCTTACCCTCGCCCTACCTTCTTGAGTTGCAACGGACTATGTACTTCCTTTTCATAACTGTGTGTTCCACAGAGCAGGACTGGAACGCCATCTATACACCAACTCATGTTTACAAACAAACCGGAGCGCCCGGAGCGCCCCTAGCGGACGCCACCGGCGCCGCGCATGCGCGATGGGGGTGTGGGCAAAAGCTCGCCGTCGCCCATAAACAAACCATTGAAATGCGATGTTGTCGGCGCCGGTGTGAGTCCCCGCGCTCTTTTTCGCGTTGGAATTGTTGATTCTACGTCCTCCTAACGATGTCTGACTACTTGAGCAGCGTCAGCGAAATTAACGAGGCTCGCTAAACCGCAAAACTTCGCGTGAATAATCTTATATGCGGCGATTCATTCCGCGTGGACGCCGCAGAACGTACGCTAAAGCCTCATTCACATGATGAGATTTCGCTCGCAATTTTCAGTAGCGACGTCGCTCTGACTGCAAAAGCGTGAACCGTAGCTGAGATGGTCGATGTCGATACTGAAAATCGCAAGCAGAATCTAACCAAGTGAGTCAGGCATAACAAGTCGGTGATGGCCAGTGGTAACAAGGATCAACATCTTCTTGTATCTACTGTTTACGTCGAGCCTGCTTACCAACCTTCAAACTTAAGTCTTTTGAGGCCTGCACTTATTTCTTATCGCAAGTACCGGGCCCACGTTTGGTCTACGGGCCGGTGTCCTCTAAAAGAGCAGACGACAAGCAGAAACGTTTGAAAGAGCAGACGACAGTTCGAACGATCAGGCGACCGTTTGAACAAGACGCACTGAACGTAGTTCGCAGGTGGTCCGTACAACTTGACGTTTTTCCGGCGTCCATTTTGGAACAAAACAAATAAATTTGATGGCCAGTAGTATCCGTGAATTTAACCCAAAATGCTTCCCGCCCAAGCAATCGTGGTCCGACGGCGTCTGGTTTTCCCTTTTCACTGGACATATCCGCGTTCTCGGACGAAACGAGCGCATGAAAACTGACCTTCAAACCTTTCTCGACACTTTTAGTACAGCCCCAGTCGCAGCATTTTGACGAGAAGGCAAATTTTTGTCTGGTTCCTTTCAAAACAACGCAGGAATACACGTCTCAAAGTTGCACTTCCGCCCACAGCCCCGGACCGGAAGTGCGACCGACGCGCCACCACCGCGCCGTGACGTAACAGAGATGAGTTCGTGTATAGTCAGTCACAGGGTAAGAAAAGTTTTCGAGGGAAAGGACGGCTGGGGAGGAGGAAGCGAACGGAATGCTGGAGAGGAGAGGAGGAAATCCCCTCCTCTCTCCAGCGTTCCGTCTGCTTCCTCCTCCCCAGCCTTCCTTTCCCTTGAAAACTTTTCTTGACCTGTAACTGACTGTACACGCCGTGCTTCGAAACCTGCGTATTCCATAGACACACTGCAGTTACCATAGGAGCCGTCTGACGCGTTGAACGACGGGAGATGAGCCGTGGGGACAGAAGGGGTGTACTGATCGTGCAAGCAGCGTCTACGAGGAGTTCCGCAACTGAGCTCACCTAATGAAGAGTTTTGGGGGAACCGTTTTTCCACGTCCGATACGGTACGGTGAGCCCTCCGGTACAAACTTGGCATGCGCCACCGCACAAGGCTCCCATGTCCGCAGTTCGTATACCGGAGGGCCCATCGTACCCTACCGGATGTGCAAAGACGGTTCCCCTTAAAAGCCGACGACCGGACTCGAGATTCTGCAAGGCAGAAGATAGGCGACGGTGGACAGGGTAGAAAGGGGGAGAGGAGGAAGCGGGGAAAAAGTGGAAAGCTCGAACTGGTCGTCTGTGTTTAAACTCTCTAATAACGTTGACACTAACTCAACTCTCTGAGTTGACGGCACCGCGGTGGCGCTGCTGTCGGAACTGGGCTATTGCAGACGCTTGACGTCACGCGAATCTGGTTTCGGAGCACGCGGCGTGCTCCCATTGGGCAAACGCGGCTTGTTTGTAAACAGGGTGCTGGTGATAGACCTGGGTGGGCGAACTCTGGCGAAGTCTGCTGGTCCATATGGAAGCAAAATTACAAATCCTTAAATAGGAAACAAAGGCCCGATGCTTCATATGGAATTATGCTCCATCTACCCAGCTTGTTGGCAAGTAGTTCTGAAAGCTTCATCACTGTGAAGCGTCCTAACGTCTAACGCAGAGGGCTGAGTTGTTCGGGTGTTGACGCTTGCTATCCCACCAAGTGAGGCCTTGGCAGGACTACGCGAAACTCATACATTTGAACGCACATTGCAATACATACAAATATTTTGCGTAAATTGGACTATAATATACATTGCCCCGGACATCATAGTAGAATACGTATGGTTCCGCTGGCTCTTCTTTATAAATTTGAACACCGTCAAAGCTGCTGCTACTAATACGTAGCATTTAGTTAAAAAAAAATATTTTTTTTGGGGGGGGGGAGGGGGGAGTAGTTTGTGCAACTTGGATGGTGGGCAAGTTGAGGTTACTATTTCAGAAAAGGGTTTCTGGCCAGGGCCATTTTCAGCATTCGTCCGTTGCTCACTTTCGAAAACCACGAACGTGCGCCTGTTGGGCCACGGACATAGCACTCTGGGCTGTTGTTGACATTAAATGACAGGCCCCAGGAGACAACTGCCCGTGGCAACGCAGTTAAAGTTTGAGAGCTCATGCTTCAGCGCCGATTAAAGCTTGGCATGCGCAGTTCTTCTCCCTTCCGAAATGCCACAGAAAAAAGTTGTCACCCAGTAGACTATGTTCAACAAACTCCAATTGGCGCCTTTGATGTGGAGACGTTCGTGGACTGTGCATTGGCGTCGGAACATAACAACAAGGGGACCTGCCTCCCCCCCTCCCCCTCAACCTCTCAACCCCAGGTTTTAGATAATACTAGCATTCGATCTCAAGAAAAGAAGACACCCGAAGAAGTGAAGACGTACTGCGCAAGCCTTGTCTTCTGCTCACCTGTGAGTGCTCACCTGTGAGTGCTCACCTCGTGCTCACCTGTGAGTTTCTTGCTTTCGACTCCGGAGATGGCTGAGTCTAACACGATCGTATGATCTTCTAAGGCACACCATGACAGCGGGAGGTTGCATGCGTCCGGCCAGTGCCGGCCAGGCAGGAAAACACACGTCTTCAGGCATCAATAAGCAAAAGAGGGTGCACTGTGCAGCACTCAAACACAAACACAAACGCACACATGCGAGCCCTAGAAAACAAATTGCGCAAGTTCAATCATGCAGCCAAAGTGTGGGAAGCACAGGATGGGTCGACCGCAAACTACCACCTCTCAGAACCACCTCGCGCAAACTGATGCCGGGGGACTTGAAGTAACATGACGTGATCGTGTGACGTCAATTTTCCCTCTAAGTGAAGGGGAAAAAAATTTGCATCGCCTGACTCAAGGTCACATGACGCGGTCGCATCACGTCACTTTCTCGCTAAATTTAGCGTAGAAATCGACGTCACGTGACATCCCTTTTCCCCCGCTAAATTTAGCGGGAAACTGACAGCACGCGACACTCAATTACCCGCTACATTTAGCGAAGAATGTGACGTGGTGGTTCTACTTGACGGTTTTCTGCTGGAATCCGGCTGATAAACACCTATTCTATGCTTAAAAAATAAATAAATACGGGAACCAAGATTTAAAATGCGTTCCGTATATTAAACTAGCACAATGAATTGCCCCATTTATTCCGCCGGCATATGCTGGGCCGCCGTCAAAATTTGGAAGACAGCCCCAACATTTAGGAACATACTGCCGACCGGAAACGCGTGGGAGGAACCCCATTTTATACTTCGTGGTCACCGAACGAACGTTTTTTCGTTTTCGCGCCACAAAAAAGGGCTATAAATATCTATCGTGATGACAGGAACCTAGACACTAACGTCAAGATCCTTTAATCTTAAATTTTCATGTTGCAGTTCCGTTTTCGCTTAAGAGGCACACAAATGCTAAATAAAAAAAAATTAAAAAACCGGCTTAAATTGTGGTACTGTATGAACGTTCGCACACGTCGTTTTTTTTTTTTAATATGTTTTACTTTTTCGCTTTAGGTCTGTACACGCAAACCCTGTATTCAAGTGTGCATTCTTTCTCAGCGCACCGTTAGTTTACGCAAAGTTAATGCTGTTTTTTTTTCTCCAAATTTCAAAAAAAAAGCCAAACTCTGCAAAAAAAGGAAAAAAAAAAAAGAAATGGCTGTGTGTGTGTTTGTGCCGTTGAGCAGGCGGTGTAAAAGTTCTAGCGACCTCCGTGGCGGTCAAGAAAATAGCGATTTTCACAATACTGTACCTAAAACGCTTTGCGAACGCAAATAAATAGCGTCGCCACCACTGCGCCGTATGAAATGGATATACAGAGAAGTTGACCGTGCTTGAAGAGGAAGATGCTCATGTTTTCTCGTGTATCAGTTACGTATACTCTCAATGCCCAAAAGTTTAGCTAAATAAGAAAAACCACGAAGCTTCTTCATTCTTTAGTTCACATAATCCTTTTTCATCCTTCCTTCCAATTTGTCTTATGAGTTGCGAAAACCTCAAAGCCCCCGTCTCTCCGACCCACCTTTTTAATTTTCCCAAAATCCTCTGCTTCGAGTTGCTTCGTATGCAAATCAGAATTTGCAAGCGTCCCCGTCCTCCATAGCCAAGGCCGAATGAAAAACGATCGATACAACGGGAGCCCAGTTTTGAACACTCGTTTTATTTCTTTTCTGTCTTGCTTTGCCGCTGTACCCGGCCCCCCTTCAACCCATTGTTGTTTTTTAACGACACTTCTAATGCATGCAAAGTCGTCCGTACCGTTTCTGAACTTTATGGAAGGGCTGGTGGGCAGGGCTCAGTGAGCACTTTGGAAACTGGCATCCATGGCGCGCGAAATCGACACCAGCTGCGTCGTGTAGAAACCGAAAAAAAAAAAAATCTAGATGCAAAAGCTAGATTCTGGGTATTTCAAAATAAAGTGAGCGGCAAAACATAAATTAAAAAGAAAATGGCGGAGGATAATTAAGGGCGCGATGAAACAGCCGACGACTCCTATTTTGCTTACATCAAACAAGGCGCTTATTAAATATTTTTTTTTGTATATGAGGCATTTTTGTAATTATCTCACTATCTGGCGTTCATACATTGAAGAAAGCCGTGTCGGAGTAAAATTTCAATGAAAATATTTTGTGTGTGTGTGTGTGTGTGTGTGTGTGTGTGTGTGTGTGTGTGTGTGTGTGTGTGTTTATTTAAGGCTGCATTGGCGCCTCTTCCCAGGCTGTCATAAATGATCGGCACTGTGTACAACAGCATATTGATGCTCATCGATGAATGAAGGAAGCAGCTGGCGAGTTAAATTCGTTATGCTAAGTTATACCTCAACTATATTTCAAGGACAACTGGAGGCCTTGTTTCCCGGTTATTTGGCATACGAAGGTCACTAAATATATTAAGTATATTCACTCTAAGAAATCTCTTTACAGCAGAGCTGTCGGGGGAACCGATCGTTTCAATCTATGGAGAGCGCTGGGCAAATAACGAAGCTAGAAATATGTCTTAAAAAAAAAAGACACAGAAAAGAAATTGATACTGTTACATTAAGCATGGCGTAAGCAAATGAAACAGCCCCTGCTTAGAGTCACAGAATGCAGACTTTCCCTACTTTAGGTCTAAACATATTTTCAGCCTCATCATTCTCTGTTATTTCTATTAAAGATATGTCGCCTTACAAGGTCATCATCACCGATAACATTTTACAGTAACCTGTCGTTATCGTTCTACTCTTGTTGTCGTTATATGCACGTTGTCCTTATATATAACGACAACGTATACGTTGTCGTTATACTCTATTGCTATTATTTGAACGGTGTATAGTTTATTTTGAAGCGCTAACGAAATCATGCCCCCATTTTAGAGTAAAACACGATTAACGCGAATTTATCAGCTCTAAAACGCCCGAACGTTTCCTACGTCGCGTCCTGTCATTGCTGACGCCGATACACGCACTCTCAATACACCGCACAAAATATCGAATTATTTCGTAGTATAGAAATCAGTAGCGTGTAAATAAAAGCAGAGAAAAACATTTTTTAAGAGTACCATATCGAAGAAAGTCTATGTTTTCTCCCGTTGTGATCATTCTAAAAATGTTGGTGTATCCACTACAGGACTGACAGTTTTGCTAATTCATTTTTTGTCAAAACCGCGAGAGAGTGGAACGACCTCTTGGAAGATATTGTGTCCATTGGTGATAATGACTTTTCTTTTTCCATTTGTCATAATGTTTTCTAAAAAAAAAACAACACTTACAATAAGGTTTTTAGGGCGATATACGTACAATGTAATTAAAAATAACGAAATGTGTACTGTTTGCAACACCCAGTGTACGTGCAGTGGTGCCATGCGATAACAACGTTTCGAGCATGCGCACACGAGAGATTAGCTTACCTCCACTCCGCTGCACACTAAAGAGGGACCGCAGTACACACTGCGAGCCATGTCAGCGAATAGACGATTTGCAATTTTCCCAAGCGCCCCGGCCCGCGCGCGAGGAATTGTCCCTCGCCTGGCCGCTCTACCTTGAGATCGCATTGCCTTGTCGCTTGTCTCTCTTAATCCTCTGTTTTTCTATTCCATTACCTATTTTTATCTATTCCAGTGTATTTCTTATTGCTTACAAGTGTTTCTATTCTCTTCTGCGCGCGATATTTCTTGTATATATATAGTATTTGTCTTTATTTTGCCATTTTCGACGGGAGTGCCAACGGGCAACACGCCGCATCGCGCGTCGTTCCCCGGGTGAGTACTACCGTTGCTACCGATTCCTATCGCGCTGTTAGCTGTTTATTTTTGTTCATTTGAGCCGCGTGCAGTCGAGAGGTCCCGGTTATGAACACCCGCGCACATGTTATACTGGTAGGCAAAGCTCTGAATCAACAATCGCGACGCGAGAGCCGAGTGCGCTGCGATTTAGCCACCCGCGCTCGCTTCGTTGACTCGCACTGTAGCGTGTGCCTTTGTGCCGCTCACTTGACTAAGACACAGCGTGCCGCTTTGAAGTCGCGAATAATTTGTCCGAATGCCTGCGAAACCGTAACACCGCTGGGCATACCCAACGCTGCGGTGCCTGACAACTGCACGCAGTTGTCTTCACCCAAACACTTCGCAGGACGACGCTGTCTTTTGGCAAACGGTGCCAGGAAACATGCTGTGCGCTGGCAGTATTGTTTTCACAGCCGGGCACACAGAAAGCTGTACCACCGGGCATGTTGCTGATAAAGGTGACTTAAAGAAATAAAATACATTGAGCTGACATCTTGACTAGTGAAATAAAATTATCGAAGGAACTATGAGTTTCAAGATAACTGCCAGGGTGACAGCAGATTTCTGCACTTGAAAAAAGGTGTTTGCAACTGACAACCGCTTAGCAGATAGATTAAGAGGGCATACCATAAGCGCATACAAGCCGGGACGTTGGGCCGCCGGCGCTTGCGAAGGGCTCGCGCCGCTGCGCGCAGTTTGTCAGGCACCGCAGCGTTGGATATGACGAACGGTATTATGGCTTCGCAGGCATTCCGACAAATGATTCGCGGCGATACATCTCTGCATTTGAAAAAGGGCGTTGGCAACTGACAACCGCTTAGCAGATAGATTACGAAGGCATGCCATAGGCGCATTCAAGCCACGACATTGAGCCGTCAGCGTTTGTGAAGGGATCGCGCCGCAGCGCGCAGTCGTCAGGCGCCGCAGCGTTGCATATGCCTCAGCTTCGCAAACATTAGGACAAATGGTTTGCGGCGAAAAGCGGCATGCTATATCTTGGTCAAGTAAGCGGCACTCGAAGGCATACGCTCCAGTGCGAGTCAACGGAGCGAGCGCGGGCGGCCAAATCACAGCGTATGCTGTGATTCGGCATATGCTGTGATTGCATATGCTGTGATTTGGCGCGGGCGGCCAAATCACAGCATATGCAACGCTGCGGCGCCTGACGACTGCGCGCTGCGGCGCGATCCCTTCACAAACGCTGACGGCTCAATGTCGTGGCTTGAATGCGCCTATGGCATGCCTTCGTAATCTAT